ATAATTTAGTAATAGACTTACCTACGTGAGGAAGTAAATACAATGCACCGATGTAACCAAGAATGTAATAAGAAATTATCTGTCCAACACTCATCATGAGGGAGAAATTGACATTCAGAAAACTAACACTTTGAAGATATGGTGGACTATTTTATATGAAATCAGAACAGATGGTGTTCAGTATCAGCAAGTCTTGCTGCTGTAAAAGCAAAATTTAATTATGCACATGAACACGTTTGTCGTGGTTGACCTTTTGTACTTCATTCCACCGCTTGTCTGTTTTACTGGGTAACGCAAGGGCACTAGAAGAACTAAACTTGGATTGGATTTTTATAGTTGTTCCCCGATTAATTAAATCAAAATACTGTTATACTTGTTTACTTATTTTGTTCGTTGTGTTCCTTTGCTGCACTAAATCGTTGTTTAACTCCAAATAAATTAGCGTATGTATGGAAGACTCACTGCTAACTAGCCCGCAGATTTTTTTGTGGATACCAAAATGCTAGCGTCCACACCCAGCGTATTCGAATCGTTTTCGAATCGTTATCACTGTGCTCACGTATCCGGAAATTTCTTGATCCGTCCTGATGACTAGCGCCTAGTCCCTTTGACGGATAGTTTTTCTTACTGAGCATGCGCAAAATCGTGAGGATACGACCGTCCACACGTATCCGTATTCGGAGCGCATTCGAAAATTTCCATTCCGTAGACCATTTTCGAAATTTCCCGGATACGGATACAAAAAATTCGGATACGTGTGGACGAGGCCTTAGTCTGAAGGGATCGATAGATAGAGTGTTGGTTTCCAATATTCAAGGGTTCATATGAGTGTTGCTCATGGTCATTACGTTTTGTAAAGAGTTTTATTTCACAATTGAAATTTCCCCCCATTTATTGATTATTAAAACTGAATTAATTTTTATCCCCATTTAGTTATAATTTATATACTGTAACATTTTATCCTCTGATGTCACTGTTTGGCAATAAATTAAAGAAAAGTGAATCTGCATGTCCAACGCTTGTTGGCACCTTTTTGTTTAACATTGATGTTTTCTAGCGTGCCTTTATAAGATAATCTCGCTGCTGTTAGTTTGCAGAGATTGATAAGTAGGGTTTTGGTTTCTTATATTCAGGGGTTCATATGGGTGTTGCTCGTTATTATTATCAAGCCGCACATTGCGTTCAACGGATCTCGTTCGAAGTGGTTCGTACACTGGTCTTTGGRCACCTTGTTCAGAAGGATTTGGGAGATTGAGATCCTCATAATGTTTGAGATGATTGGGCGGAATTTCTTCTTGAGGACTTGCAATCTCATTTAGCTGTTGTATGGTTTCATATTCTGGTCCTGTATTGATAGGCGGATGTGGAAGTGATGTTGTGACAGCGGATATCACCTTCTTATCCATCTCAAGTTCGTTCTTAAAGAAAGAAGAAGTCTCTAAATCAATGGCAATATGAATAAATATATAGTGTTAAGTAAATGGCATTCACTTACGGAGTAGATCTCCTCATCAGCTGCTTTTTTGGTTCTGAAAATAAGCAAAAAATAAAGAGGAACAATGTATCATTTTTATAAACTTAGATTATTATATATATGTGTGCATAAACATGTTTATAGTTTTCTTATCCAAGACGTTTTATTTATTATGTTCTACCTTTGGTTACCTTGCTTTCGTTTTAGACCTGAATGGTGATACAAATGTAATGTTAATGAAGAAAACATAATTATACATAGCATGTGCATGTTACGTCATAGCCGCCATGTTGATTGACGATAACAAAGCATTCCTCATTAGCTTCTCTTGTTAGATCAACCAACATGGCGGCTGTTTCATTGTTATTCATATCTCAAGGAATTTTGAGTCACGTGGTTGTTAAAAAACAAAGTGAAATCCGGTGAATTTTATTGCATAAGTATGTGACACATAAAAACTTTGCAATATCAATAAAGTTGCATCGTTCTTGGATCCGGACGGTTCCTGGTAAGTGCTGGGAATAATACAACAAAATCCAACCCCATTTCCCCATTGCCAGGAAATGGGAGAAGAACATTATTTGGCCATTTCTCATTGAAAAAAAATATCCTAAGATACCTACAGGTAACTCCTATTGCAATGACCAGTTTGACGCACACTTACAATGTAATCTGTCTTTTTTTCTCCACCACAGAAATTGCAGTAAATTCAAACCAAGAGAGAGAACGAGAATTGCGATAATGACTCCAAGAACAGTAGTGACTGGTAAGAGAAAAGTCAAAATTTTAATAATAAACAACAAATGACTAAATRAGTTATATTGTGGGTTGAGTTATYCTKGTAGARTTGCWTYRTATTGTTATCATTCTTAGGACTTACTGTACTTCGAGCCTMCCATTGGACAGCTATTAACTGATTTACCTAAGAAGTTAAACAGTTTAGAAATCATTCAAAAAAATTCTTTATGAGATCATCGAAAAGCAAATTTCTTTAACCCGACCATACCTTGCCCAGAAAGAAACATACTGTACTATAAAATGCTAAGCGGCCATGTACATACCAGTGGCATATGCAGTCTTATCTGCTGTAGTATTTACAGTCTTAACATTACGTTCATCCTTGATGCTTTCTCCATATTTATTCCACGCAGTAACTGTAAATTTGTACGTCTTTCCATATTTAACTTTCGTTCCCACAATGCATTCCAATAGTAGAGAATCTTTGACATCCTCTATAATATTCCAGTCAGGTTGTTCTTTTTCTTCTTTCATGTAGATAGTGTAACGTGAAATCGTTGCCCCATTGTCATCAGTTTTTTTCCACGTTAAAAGAACTTTTCTTTTAGATTCGGCTTCTATGAGTAGGGAAGTCAACAGTTCTGGAATGTCTGGTCTACCTTAATTAAGAGCGATGTAAAGTAATCAGCAGTTGTTTAATAAAATCATTCGCTGGGAAAAAATTACGCATTTAACTCCCTTGCCACTTCAATCTCGGTCTCTCTCGGTGAACCCGGCACTCGGTATCACAAGTGAGTAGACTATGTATGACTCCTTAAGTTAGATGTTTCGAATATTTCAATCTGTGAAATAAATGTACCATTACTGGGCATCGTTAAAAACTTGAAGGTTTTCTGACTATAGTCCATAATTTTAAAATAAAGTTAATTTATAGTTAGCTAACTAATGATAGGTTTTACGTACCTTTTTTCTTGGTAGTGATCATCTTGGTTGATGACACTCCATAACCAATATCATTCTTAGCATATACTGTAACCCTATACCGACTGTCTTTCTTTAAGCCTGTTAGTACGATGTACGTGTCAATTGTTCTTACAAAGATGTGTGAATCAGTTTCCAGTACGTAAGCAGTGACAGGACTTCCACCATCATCAGCAGGTTTGGTCCATCTCACATTTGCTGATGATGCTTCAATCTCAATTATCGTTAATGTAACAGCACCTGGGGCAACTGAATGAGCAAACAGATCTTCAGTAACAACATCTCAATGCCGTATAGGAAAATATACTTACTTTCCTGAAGTTATTGTACTCGAGCCCTGAGTTGTATAAATTGCTGGTAATGGTTTTACATGCATGACCTAATCTATACTCACCCAGCTGAGTAACATTGATGACGTGTTCATCACTTCCCAGGATGTTTGTTGCCCAACACTTGTACTGCCCATAGTCCCCTTGGTCAGCAGTTGTCTGTACTGTCACCTCACTACCCCCGCCGGGTACAATGTTGACACCTGTAGTGATCTGTTGATTTGTTGGTTTGTACCATGATATTCTTGGTGCAGGTAAACCAGTTGCAAAACATCTTAGACGAATACTGTTGCCATTCCATGACTTCGAACTAAATGAAGACTTTGATAAATCTATCGCCGGTTTGTCTGAATTTGAAGAGAATCAAAGAAAGAGATACAGATCTTATTTAGTTCAACAGTCAAGGCTATATAGTATTTGTACCTACGCTGCACAGTAACTTGTATACTGGCCACTGCTTCTCTTCCTATCCCGTTACTAGCTGTACATGTGTATGTCCCTGCATGTAATGTGCTGATTGACGGGATGTTGTAGATTTTCCCAGGGTAGACAGACCCTGACGGTGTCTTCCATTTGATGGTAGGTGGTGGATAGCCATCTGCATCACACTTGATACTCAGGGAGTCGCTCTCATTCATTGTTCTATTTAGGAACTTGTCGAAGATGATAGAAGCCTGGACTGTCAAGATTTCAGCATAAAACACGTTACAATCATAACCCGAATAGTAAGGGGATCAAAGACAAGGAGATGGATGTCATTTGTGAAAAGTGTGCAGTAGTATGCGAAAGCAGAGGTAATAATAGTATCAAAGAGTCTAAAAATAGCATCAAAGATTCTAAAAATAGCATCAAAGATTCCTGAAATAGCATCAAAGAGTATCGAGTAGCGAGAAATCCCGCAGCATAGGTATACCTACATTTTACTATAACAGTTGCAGTTGCACTGTCAGTGTGTTCCCTGTTGTCATAGGCGTTCTTTGCTGTACATATGTACTGGCCAGCGTCTGTTTTGATAGCATCAGGTATTCTAAATGTTCCCCCAGCTACTGTGTGATCAGCTTTGATGACACCGTCAACCTTCGTCCATGATATGGATGGTGGTGGATAACCATCTGCTGTACAGCTGAGTAAGATTTCATCATCTTGTACAACTGTGATACTTGGAGGAGTAACACTGCTTTGAGGACGATCTACAATTACATTTAATTCTCATACTCATTAATAATCGGCCAATCAATGGGCTATTTTTTGTGTCACATGATGTTATTTGAAACCTTGTAAAGTTCTGTGAAAGGATTGAATTAGTTTTGTTCAATTCCTTTGACTGGATCAAAATTAAATCAGTTCAGGGACATATCTGTCCCTTAAGTCTTTCAATCCTAAACAAATAACCTCCCGAACTATTAATGATTATTAGAAGTCATTTTAAAGCCTCCAAATTGGACTGGACGGGATATCAAGTCGTCCTTGCAATTGGAACTAATTGCTTAGGCTTAAAATTCCGTCCAGTCCTCATTGTCGGCTTTGAAATATTACGTATCAATTTAGCAAATCGAGATCCCTTTCTATGGTCTGTACTCTTATCGAACATGGAATGGCGTCCACATAAGATCCAAACTCAAGTGGAAACACGAGTACAGCCAGTGATTACTCTAACATTCAGTCGTTAATGAACTTCTGTTATATTTTCTCTTTGTATAGCAAATTATCCACCTTTAATTTCTTAATACGTTTTATAGAGAAACTCCCTGAAAACCACATGTATATTTGTGATGGCCGCATATTACATAAGACAGTAACAACCATAACGTAACAACGTAACAACAGAGGCGGAAGAAAATGCTTGTTCATACTTACAATATACAGACACAACAGTCTGTGCATTGACTGGATTCTCATTTGGGTTGTTGCTGGCCTGACACTCGTACGTCCCATTCTGATCTCTTCTAATGTTTGGTATGCTCAGTGTAGCACTTCCTGTTCCTGTACTTTTGATCACGTGACCTGCTATCTGTACCCAATTGACGTTGGGTGTTGGTGGACCAACAGCAGTGCAAGGCACGCTCAAATCTTGACCCTCTGCTATATTCTTTGCCAGTGGTGGCTGTGGCTGGAACTTGGGAGTTACTTTTGAATAAAATGTCATAGAAAACATGATGTTAGTGTAAGTTGAATAGATAATAGTCTGAACTAACAGGTGACCTAAGCTCACTTAAGACAACCAGTTCTTCAAAATGAATATCAAAATAAAAAAGAGACCCTTCATATAAGTAAATAGGCAGATCATTTTTTGCTCATAAACTTGAGGTTTTAAGAACGAAAACGATTCATGATTATGATAAAAGCAAACTTACGTAATCCTACCCTCAAATTTTTTTAAAAAATTAAATGATTATTATTTAAGGGGAATTTGAAAATCTAGGATGGACCATTTTTGCAATTGTCGTAACCTGACATTTCCTAGTGTAGTGAATCACCATGATACGTCAAAATGAACAAAAAATGAATACAATTATCCTGAAAAATGCTCTGTTAATGCGAGGTTGAATAACTCCATTTTCACAAGCTAGGGAAACGTAACATTATGAATCCTATTCGAGATGTTAATTTCTAGAAAAGAGACATAGTCTTCCATCCTTTCCCTTGTAAAGCTGCCCAACCACTCTCCTTTCCATCCGGCTTTAAGAATAATATAATTGCATATATATTTGAGCAGAGGGTACTTACCTGCCACAGTCAGACTCATTTCGTATCTCGTATTAGTACTTCCTTCTAGAATTACCACAGCATATTTATTGGTATCACTGATACTAAGGTTTGGTATTTTGAACCAAGCACGACCAGCAGGCACGTCTCCCACGTAATGAACTCTTCCTTTATAACTCGATGCAGCTGGGGTATCCAAGGCAGCGCTATAGACAGCAACGTTGGCCCATTTATTGACGTATATGAATTGTGGATTTATTCCTAGGTTATCTGCTGGATCCACCAATCCCCATCTTACTTCATCAATACTTCCACTTGTTCTGTTCCACATAAAGACGACATCTTGACCAACATTTCGTAYGATGCCATGTGCTATATTAAAAACCAAGTACGTTAATGATGGCTTGGTTGGGGGGAAAAGGTTCCAAGGATGGTACAAGATGTGTCAAAGCTCAGTGGGAATCAGACTGAGTATTTATGTTTGACTAAATTAATGCTGTGTATTGCAAATTACTCCATTTTCGAGTTCTCGGTTGCTCAGTGTTATCCTCGGTTTTGTGCAGAATATTCATTTCTTTCATAGAAGGTCCGTGGAATTTCAAAGTGTTTGATGTATTGTTGAAATTGTGCATTCTTTACTTTACCTTTGTTATTTGTGAATATTTAGACATATTTAGGCAAATGAGTCTGTAATCAAGGAACACAGCACTGAATAATTTGGAAGTCAAAAATGGTCTATTGCGCACTATGTGCACACTCTGTTGAATCAGTCAGATGTATAAATGTATAGGTAAAGAATAACGTGATCTCTTTCTTGGGCTAATAGATCCCTTCTTTCCCGTCCGAAGTAAGCCAATACCGCGAAAATACAGAGGTAAGGCAAATGCTCATTATTGGCGTTTAGAAAACTTGTTTTTGTTCAAGGTGTCTCAAACCGAATCCATCGCGAACTTTGCGACTTTTTGAATTCTTGGTTTGCAATATACGTCATAGCCGCCATGTTGGAAGAATTTGACAAAAGGTCTAAAATTTTCAATGAATTCTTTTGTTATATCTTCCAACATGGCGGACATCCCTTTTGTTATTGTGTTCTCTTGGGATTGATTGCAAACCAAGAATTTGCCTTAGTTCTCTTTCTTCCATGTTGATCGTTATGGCTTTTTTTTACTTATAACAAGTTTGACGTGAATTATGATGATGTAGCAAACATTTGAGTGCGCTTGCTAGTTTATCAGCTAAATGTATCTACTTTTCTCGTGTCCATATGAAAGTCTACTGTTGATCATTGTGGTCTATCAAACATATTTTGTTCATCATTACTTATACCGTGTTGGTCAAGTGGTACCGATGTTAGACCACAAAACACCAGCTAACTCTAACAGACAATACATTGATCACACTGATTGAGGTTAACATAGCTCGATATATATTAGTCAACTAAATGGTTCTAATGTACATCATGACCGCAAGTGTATGCCAGTTGACTCACAAACTGAACCATTGCATGATTCCATGAGATTCAAACCAAAATATCCTTCTCACCCGGACTCAAATTACAAGTTAAATAGAACGTGAATATAGCATATCCTTTGTTAAACATTCATACTTCAGATTTGCACGTAAATTCATTATATAGTAATAAAAGCTAAAACTATTTTTCTAATATTTTCAAGAGTTTATAAAACTGACTAAAGGCTAAAGGTAGTAGAATTTTAATGTTTAAATTGAGCATTATAGTTCGAAGGTATGTTGTGATGTAAAGGGAATCCATCGGATTGATTAAAAGAATAAACACATTGACTAACCTTCAGGCGGAAGTAAAATAAGTACACTGAAAACAAAGGAAATATAAGTGTACATGATTGGTAATTGAAAAGCTCCCATCTTGTAAGCTCGTTGTAAGCTCTCTGGAAAACGATAAAATGCCCCGTAAAAAAGCGAGCGATAATGTTTACGTTCTGAGATTGAAGTTATATATGCTGATCATTACTTGGCTGTAGATGACCTTTAATGTTTGATTACTTTATGTAGATTATATCTGGTAACGCAAACATGAGAGTTAACACAGGTAGCCCAAAATATATTTATTATCGATCGAAGCTTTTCCTCAGCTTTTACTTTTGTTCTTGACTTGATTTTATTGGTTTTCTTTCTTAATTGGTTCTTTTTTTTTCTTTCCCTTCCTTTTCCACATTTTTCTTTTTCTTTTAAAAAATCTGGTAAAAACTAGGTAAAAACTGGGTAAACTTGAAAAGTGAAAGTCTTCCTTTACAGCAAATAGTTATTTCACTTCTTAAAGGAGCACTAATGCTGAAGACTGCATTTAAAATATAAGAAAAAGCTGTTAATGATTGTTTGAAAAATATCTGATCTTCAGAAAAACAAAAAAGTAATCTCCTGAAGTTTTCTTAGTTAAC